GTTGGTCGCACCACTTGCACTTCCGAGTTGCCCTCGAAAAAGGCTAAGGCTCGATTCATCTCGCCGGCATTGTAACGAGGGGTTGGATTATGCATGCTAGGAAGGTTGTCAGCATAGTATTTTGTTATGAAGTTTGACACCTCCTCCAGAATGTATGCCTCTGCAATGAATGCTTCAATTTTACATTTATTTTTACATTTAGTTCGAAGAACCTTTTGACATCTCTCAATTGAATAGCACAAATGGCCCTGCATAGGCCCCCTCATTCGTGCTTCATACGGGAGGTGCAGAATCATATGCTGCATCGGATTGAAGAAGCCGGGTGGAAAAATCTTCTCCAACTTACAGAGCAACACATGCGCCATTCTTTCCATTTCTGCAACCACGGTACGAGATAACTCCTTGGCACAAAGCTGGCGGAAGAAATTGCTCAACTCCGCTAGCACCTGCCAGACATGCTCAAGGACATAGCGTCGAACCATCATCGGAAGTAGGCGCTCAAGCCATATGTGGTAATCATGACTCTTGAGCCCGTTGATTCGCATAGTAGCTAAGTTCACTCCCCTCTTCAGATTCGTTGCATACCCATCAGGGAACATTAACGTTTGGAACCATTCTAGTACCTCCCTCCTTTGGGCCCTCGGCAGGATGAAATCGGCCTTAGGCTTTCTCCACGACTTGCCGGCTCTGGGAGGCACCATGTTTAGCTTTGGTCTGTCGCATAACCTCGCTTGATCCACTCTAGCCTTAACATTATCCTTTGTCTTATCAGGAATGTCCATGATTGTACCAAAAATTGCCTCGGTGATGTTCTTTTCAGTGTGCATTACATCAATGTTATGTGAAAGAAGAAGATCATCAAAATAGGGGAGGTTCCACAAGCACGACTTCTGAGTCCAGGCATGTTGCTCGCCATATCCCACAAAACCACCTTCTTGTTTATTGACCTCGAGAGCGTCTAACTGAGCACGAACCGCGGCTCCTGTCATCATCTGCGGTGCAGGGTCTTTAACTACGACACCTTTCATAAAGTTCTTGATGTCTAGTCTAAATGGATGGTCAGGAGGGAGGAATTGTCGATGTTCGTTGAACGAAGAATACTTGCCACCCTTCGTCAACCAAATGAACATCAGAGAAGCCTTGCATACCGGGCATGGGAACCTCCTGTGAACACACCAGTAACAGAAAATCCCATATGCCGGCAAGTCATGCAGGGAGTACTGGTACCAAACATGCATCTTGAAGTTTGTCTTTGTAGCTCGGTCGTATGTCCATACCCCTTCCTCCCAAACACGGACCAAATCATCAATCAGAGGCTCCATGTACATACTCATATTATTCCCCCTGGTGTTCTAGAATTATCAACGACAAGAATATATTCTGTCGTTGAAAGAGGACGCCAGGGGGGAGATTGAGGGGGATAACGAACATGGGCCAATAGGTGTACGGGGTAGCCACCATTCCATAAGGATTGAACCCATCTGTTGCCAGCGCAACACGTACATTACGAGCCTCTAGAGCTTTCTCACGATGAATCTCATCAAACCTTGTCCAGGCTTCACCATCTGATGGGTGTACCATCTTCTCAAGATTGTATCGACATCCGTTTTTGTGCCATGTCATCTGTTTCGCGGATTCTCAGTCATGTAAAGCCGTTGGATCCTCGGTATGAAAGGAAGGTACCGTAGGATCTTCATAGGGATTGTGAGCTGCCTCTTCTGACCATCACCAGAGTCTACCTCTAGGAACCTAGACGATTCGCACTTCACACAGTACTTTTCTTCCGCATACTCTTTCCTAAATAAGATGCACCCCTTCGGACAAGCGTGTATCTGCTCGTATGGCATCTTAAGTGCACGAAGGAGTTTCTGTGCCTCATACATGCTCTTTGGTCACCGGGAGCAGACTGCCAACAACTGTGAGCATAACACCGAAGGCGTCTTGACTCAAGCTAAACTGGGACTTCACGGCCATTAGGCGTGCAATGGCATCCAGTTGAGAAACCTTGGAATACCCGTGAAGGGGTTGCTGTGCTGCAGACAACATGTCGTAATACGCCTTTGCGGTAGCCTCTGGCTCCTCCCTACGTCCTTCATTGAAGTGTGCTTCATGATAGTCATTTAACATGTCTCATATCCCGGCATCTCCATCATATTCCTCGATGCGTTGTCTCACGACCTCGGCTCTCCCATGATCGGCTTCACCATGGTAGATCCACCTGGTATAGTCTGTCGTAAATCCATTCTTACAAAGATGTTTACCCATAACCAGCTTGGTTTGCCGACACGTGTTTGCACATTTGCTGCAGGGACACCAAGTGACACTAGCTCCTTTAACCCTTGCAAATGCCCGTTCTAAGAAAGCATCGGTCTTGTCAATCCATTCTTCGGTCCACGAACTCTGACTAAAGCGGCCCGTGTATATCCACTCACGATCATCCATCCTCTAGCATATCAGCGAGTAATATAAAAAATCACACTGCATCTACACGTTCCTATACTATCTAATAGGTGAAGATAGGTCCTAATCCCACCTGAGGATGTATAGATAGGGTTAGTTTCCATGCTCTACTCCTATCCGAGACAGAATTTCGACAACACCTCCCCGCTGTTCTCCAAATACACGTCCTGGAAGGGAGATTGTGTATCCGGAGAACAATAGGGAGATGCTGCCGAAACTCTATCACGGATCGGAGTAGATCCACTAACCGCATCTACACATCCTCGGGCTGTCCAAAAAACGTGGACAATTCGAAACAGATACGGTTATAGATATGCAAAGATCTGCATATTTCCAACCATATATCTTTCGAACGGGAGACGCCTAGCTAGGTTACGTGATATACGAACATGATACGGAAAGAAGGGTCTTTTATGCCTCACCTTGCTGTCCTGCAAAGTGACGAGTCGAGGACATTGCAATAGCCTCTCCTGCAATAAAAGGAATGTAGTAGTGTCAAATCTAAATTTTGGCAGCACCTCCCCTGCACGGGGAGGCTTCCAAAACCTGCAACAAATAAAACGGCATGATGGCCGACAACCACATCCACACCAAACAAACAGCACGATGGCTGACAACCACATGCACATCTTATACCTTGCAAAAACACGGCAACTCGAAGTTGTGGAGCGGCAGGAGGGCAAGGTGGAACCAGGCGGCAGGGCGGGGCAGGGAGCGGCGGCAAAAATCTGCAAGTTGAGACACGCATATATCACAGTATAGTAAAGACACCAACAATCATAACCACATGCTTTAACATCAGCTGACAGTCAGCGGCAACAATCATGAAAGGAACATGATTTGTCAATAGAATGAACAGAAAATCACATGGTGAAATTCTAAAACAGATATCAGTCATATCACAATGCAATTGAGATAATATGTGCCTCTCAAGTCACTGACCCCAGTGCATGGTAAAAACATCACTATTATTCACAATATTTCATGATATTCATAATTAACGATCTATACTATACATGAAATAAGCAGTAGAGGTCTACTAGAAGCACGATAATACAGACAAAAGCATGAATTGGTCGTTCATTTTTATCTACATTAAAGAAGATTCACAGCCTACCACAACAGGCTCAAAAAATTGACTCATGGTATGCAGTAAAAAATTACTCATGGTATTCGGTCAAAAACTACTCATGGTACATCGATCATACAACCAACTCAGAATTAATCAAGCAAAAAACAATATAACAGAAAAAAACTTAATGGAACTAGTGCCGATTCTTCTCTTTCTCTCAAACAAACGGCACTATCACCGGCTGCGTTTATCGCTGACCATTTCGTCACGACTGCTGCTAATCATGCCAGCCGGCCGGTGTGCGTGGGATTGGTTGAGTATGTAGTCGCTAATCCCAGCTGTCACCGAATATTCTATGATGGGCACATGAACAACAAGTAGCTCTATATATATTTTGCATAAGATATTCGGGAGAAGAGCAAAATCCAGTACTCCCTGTAGCCTCGCTGGAGGGCACAGCTGCGGCGGTTGATGTGTGACGAACGGGAAATCGGTTGCGTGAGCGTGACAGGGGGTTTTTTATTTCATCCTCCACCGAGATTTTCATCCTATTGAATGCGCCACCGCCCATGTGGCGCGCCTGGGGCTGGGAGTGAATCAATGGCCGGATGCAGGAAGGAGCAGCAAGGACGACGAAGCGAAGGATCAAGGAAGATACCCCAAATCGCGGACGTCTTGGTGGCCCGGCCAATTAACACGCAATAATTCTCCATCCCGTGCATTGCCAATTGCCATACAAGTAGCAGCTACTAGGCTAGCTCAAATGAGCTGAGGCAGCTGTAGAACGAACACCCACCCCCCGCGTCTATCACTAGAATTGAGGTAGAAGATTGATTGTTTTTTCACGGCTCACAAGATGGGAGACGGCGCAACATCACAGGCAAATGACACTATAAACCATACCAAATGCCATCATCCACAACAGAAACTGTTAATAGATCAGTGGCCAATAACTCAAAAAATTTAGCCACTTTGATTGCATAAAGTTTTAGCCTAGTCCATGTTCGAGAAAAAAATAGCCTAGTCAGTGAAATTAATGATAATATGGTCTATATTAACATTAGGAGAATGAAAACAATTAAATCAATCACAGGCAAATGACGGTGAGCCAGTGAGGGGTTGCCCGCAGGCCGCAGGAGCAGGGGAATTCAATTCAATTCGTCGGTGAGGCCATGGCCGGCAGATGTGGAGGAGGAATGCGGCGGAGGGCCGAGGGGAGAGGAGGTGCAGGTCGTACTAACCTCGTCAGAGACTGCAGGGAGCGGAGGAGCAGCAAGCAAGCACTTGGTCGTCTTCCTCTTCCCCCCTCCGTCGTCGTCTTCCCTTCCTCATGCGCCCGCGCCGGCCCTCTTTCTTCTCTGTGCAACGGGCTGCGTTTGCCTTGGACCTTTCCCTAGCTTGTCTTCTTCCTTGTCTCGTTGGAGGAGAGGAGAGGAGAGGGGCGGGCGGCGCCGGGGGCGGGGCAGCGATGCCGCGCCGGTGGCGGGGCGTGGTGGGGCGGGGAGGCGGCAGCGTGCGGTGCGGGTGTGTGTGAAGGGCCGGGCGCGCCAGGCACGGGCGCGGGGTGGCGGGCGTCGGTGGGTGGTGGGCGGGAGGCACCGGGCGGCGTCTGCGGTGAGGTGCAAAGGCGTACAAAGCGCGAGGGTGAGGGCCGGGGGTGCGGGGCGGTGGGGGCATGTGAAGGAGTATGCCGAGTGCCAAGATCTGGGGCACTCGGCATTGTTTTTTTTTATTTTCATTACGGCCCAAAACTGTACAGTGGGGCCGGGTCGACGAAGTTGCCGAGTGTCCCCTATATGACACTCGGCAAATATTATTTTCACCGAGTGTCAGGTATAAAACACTCGGCAAAAAAAGTTTATATTTCATGCTCCACCGTGCTCCTTCTTCATAGCGTGTTCTACTAAATTTGTTACGATGTAATTTAAAAATACCTTGTCAAATTCACTCAACAATGCATATTTAATTTTTTTACGAATATTAATCCATTATTTTATGCAGTTATAGCTCAAATTTAATTTATATCAATTAAAATTCTATAATTACAGTTAATAAATTAAAATTATCAAACGGATCCGAAAAATTACCAAAAATTGACGTGAACCAATCTATGTTGTCTATTGCATATACAAAAACTTTTGAAGTCAAACCCAAATTGGACCGTCACTTGGACTCCAAATCTTACCGGATCCTTCTCAACGCTACGATTCTTCTTTGGAGATGCTTCGGTTTATAAAGGTCGTACGTGACAAATTGTGCAAAACCTTTTCAATTTTTTCCACAATCTCCATGTATGATATCATGAAATTTTGACAAATCTCGTGATTTTCAGACTTCGTTTGTTTTTTTTACAATTTAAAAACCATTCGGCCACACGTTCTTGGTCGTGTTTCCTGAACAAAATGTTCGAAAACTCTTTTCATTTCCCGAGTAAGGCCCCAAAATGGACTCAATAATATGAATATGATTTCTCCACTCAATTTATTCTATTATTTGAATCACTTGCATTTCAAATTTGACTTAAACCAAAAAATTCCTTTAAATGCAATTAATTAAATAAATATAGCAAACAGATTGAGAAATATGCTAAATTTTAACATGTAGTACCACATGTTGTATGTGGAGAGTAGAAAAAGTTTGGAGGGCAGGAGAGAAAAAAATTATTATTTTGCCGAGTGCCCATAAAAAACACTCGGCAAACACATTGTTTTGCCGAGTGTCAAACAAAAATACTCGGCAAAAATATCAGTTTGCCGAGTGTCAATAAAAAACACTCGGCAAACTCTATCTTTGCCGAGTGTCTCTAACGGACACTCGGTAAAGTTATAACGGCAGGGCGGCGCACCCAACGGCTGTCACATGGCCGCCGCACACCCAGCGCACGTGCCTCTACTTTGCCGAGTGTCTGTGTTTGCCGAGTGTTTCTTTGTAGTTTGCCGAGTGTTTTTTATTAGACACTCGGCAAAGTTGGGTTTTGCCGAGTGCTATATATTTGCCAAGTGTTTAATTGAAAACACTCGGTAAAGAGTATGTTTGCCGAGTGCCCGATGGAATGCACTCTGCAAACTATCATGCACTCGGCAATTATACTATTTCCGGTAGTGCTGGGACTATAGCACAACTGACTAAATCCAACATCTTGTTGTAGAAACTTTGTTTACCACGTCTTCCTCTGCAGTGGGTTGTTGATGCACATGCTTTTCTGCTGTAGATGGCCAAAAGTGTTGAATGTGGTTGCTTAATGTTACATTTTTCAGGTCTGATGTGTTGGGTCAGGTCATGCCTTTGGTTGGACGAGATTGGAGTCACTCTGGTGTTGCTCGACTTTTTTCTGCAATAAAGGTTTGACGATTTTCTTAAAGACTTCCATTTTTCTGTTTTTTATTGCCTTTGTGGGGTTGTGCTTATGTCTAGGGTACTTTTATTTCTCAACCAGGAAAACGGTTATCAACTACTATTCCTTAGTGCTAGAGCAATTGTTCAGGCATATCTCACAAAGAACTTCCTCTTCAATCTTAAACAGGTAAAATGACAATTGTCACTTGATGTTGTCTTCTAGCACATGGTTTTCTAATCTTTACTGATTTAGGCACTTGTGTGGGTGTGGCACAGTGGCCTTGCTTTAATTTCACATGGTATTTTCAATATGCCTGCAGGCTAACTTTATCCAGTTTACAAGTGATGTTTCCCCCCAATTTTGCAGGATGGGAAAGCACTACCCAATGGACCTGTTGTAATTTCACCTGATGGCTTGTTTCCTTCACTCTACCGAGAAGGTAACATTTTGTTGGCAGTTGTATCCTGACACATTTGCTCACTATGACTTGGGCCAATTTGATTTGCCATAGCAATTGACTGGTCTTTTCCTAGCATGATCAGTAATGCGGCCTCTGGCTTCAAAGAAAATAAGCTGTTAATGGCTTAAAATAATGCTGCTGTTACTGATTTTAAGCATGCCCTAATATTCCTCTGCTTTTCTCAGTTATACGGAGAGCCCCACATGAATTCAAGATTGCATGTCTGGAGGTAATTTTCTTTTAGGCAATTCCAATTTTTAGTTTGATGCTCTGGCGTGATTGCATGCAAGTTAGCCCTTAGATCTAATAGTCTGCAGCAGTACTATGATCGGTGTGTTAAATTCATGGAAGTTTTGATGTTTGGCAGGACATTAAGGCGCTCTTTCCTTCTGATTACAATCCATTTTATGCCGGGTTTGGCAACAGAGACACTGACGAGCTCAGTTACAAGAAGATGGGAATACCTAAAGGCAAGATTTTTATCATCAACCCAAAGGTATTGTGTTTAACTGTTTATATAAGCCTCTTAAATCACGTCCCATGGGGTCGCAGGGTGAAGTGGCTGTGAACAGTTCTGTTGATGTCAAGTCTTATACCTCCTTACATACCCTTGTCCATGACATGTTTCCACCAACAACTCTGGTTGAGCAGGTCAGTTGTAATTCATGTCTGCTAAGTAGAGTAGTATTTTGTTTCCGCCTGAGGCATAGACTAAGAACATACCTAAATCGTTGAACACCTAATAGAACAATCACATAGGTTGGATCTGGAAGAATTAATGGTTTCCAACTTTCCATCAATCTCCTTTTTAGCTACATTTTGTCTCCTCCAAATATCACATGAACATGATAGGTTAATAGCTACATATATCTTTTTAAATTTGCTAATCATTAGATAACAACTCCATAGCACATGAATACTGCAATCAGTCCCCAATCATTGTGGCTCATATAATTTTCTTGTGCTGAGTATCGGTAATGTTGTGCAGGAAGACTACAATAACTGGAATTACTGGAAGGTGCCGTTGCCAGATGTTGATTTGTAGTGTAGTTTTGACATAAACAGACGTAGATACCAGTAGGTTGCAAAAGCCTAGTAGTCAAGCTTCATGTACACTAATTTCAGTCACCACGACGGGGTTAGGTCCAATCTTTAAAGTATCTCAAGAGTTCCCGGATGTATGGTTTTTGATAGCCAATGGCCCAACGAAAGGTTGCCACTTTCTTTCCTTCGACGGAGCTTTCACATGATCATACGTCTTTTAGGTAGTGATCTGATTGTCTTCGTCGAACTTGTTGTACCCAGAGGTTTGAGTCTTAGAGAACGTCTCCTGAGCTGGTCATTCTCCAAGCTATTTTGTTCTGATAACAGGAAATCCTCCGGTGTCAAAAGCAGCTCTGTACATTGTATATCAGCGCATGGAAGAGAATTGCTAAACATATCTGCTTCATCTTCAACCCCTTCTTTTTTGTGCTCTAATTGTTGCCTTTGCAAGATGAAATGGTTTGCCTTTCAAAAGAAAAGGATGAGATGGTTCAATCACGCGCAGACTTGACACTTTGGCTATTTGTTAAATGCTGAACAACAACAACAACAACAACAACAACAACAACAACAACAACAACAACAACATAGCCTTTCAGTCCTAAACAAGTTGGGGTAGGCTAGAGTTAAAACCCACCAAGAGTCCCAAGTCATAGTTCAGGCACTTCAATAGCTACTTTTCAAGTACTCCTGTTTAAATATAGATCTCTAGGTATATCCCAAGCTTTCAAATCTCTTTTTATTGTCTCTCCCCATGTCAATTTCGGTCTTCCTCTAGCTCTCCTCATATTATAAGTTTAGCTTAGGACTCCACAATGCACTGGTGCCTCTGGAGGTCTCCTTTGGACATGGCCAAACCACCTCAACCGATGTTGGACAAGCTTTTCTTCAATTGGTGCTACCTCTAGGCGATCACGTATATCATCGTTCCGAACTCAGTCCATTCTTGTGTGACTGCAAATCCATCACAACATACGTATTTCTGCAACGCTCAGTTGTTGAACATGTCGAATCTTTGCAGGACAACATTCTGCTCCATACAACATAGCCGGTCTTATCGCCGTTCTATAGAACTTGCCTTTTAACTTTTGTGATACCCTCTTGTCACAGAGAATGTCAGAAGCTTGTCGCCACTTGATTTACCCTGCTTTGATTCTATGGCTAATGTTCGCATCAATATCTCCATCCCTCTGTAGTATCGATCCTAGATACCGAAAGGTATCATTCTTAGGCACTACTTGACCTTCCAAACTCATATCTCCCTCCTCCTGTACAACTCCGCCAAAGTCGCATCTCATGTATTCGGTTTTAGTTCTGCTCAATCTAAAACCTTTAGACTCAAGGGTCTGCCGCCATAACTCTAGTTTCCTATTTACTCCAGCCTGACTTTCGTCCACTAACACTACATCATCAGCGAGCAACATACACCAAGGGATATCCCCTTGCATGTTTCTGGTAACCTCATCCATTAACACTATATCATCAACCAAGTCAGATGCTTCTATTGAGAGATATCAAGCCCGTCTTGTTGTACGGGGGTTTCAGCAGTTAAGTGATTATCAAGAGAAGAAAAATCCCTCATCTACAAGAGCTCAAGATTATCAAGTGCTATGACCCATGTTTGGATATAGGGAAAGATGTCCCACTATAATTGGTATCAAGGTCACAAGATTCTAGACATGGTGTCTAAAGAGCTATACAAATGGTGTTCATAAAAAATGCAAGATTCAAGTGTCAACCATCTACCCCAACCCTTTGTATCAAAAGAGGAATACCTTTTATGGAAATTGATGACAAAGGGGGAGAGATTATACAAAGATATGAACATGCATCATGGGGGAGAAGATATTAACATGTATCATGGGGGAGAGACAAAGATTTGGACATGGACAATAGACAAAGAGGGAGCAACATTGAAGAATGCAAGAAGGTCAAAGTTCTTGGACAAGAGAAGCACACAAGTAGGGGGAGTAAGCTCATAAACTTTAATTGATTGCATTTGAGATGTGCATATACATGTGCTTGCTTGCATTGCATAACTTTTTAGATTCAATATGCATACTTGTGTGGTGTATTCTAGTTATCGAACTTAAATGATGATTTGAATACTAGCATGCTTAGGTTGGTAGGTAGACTTGTGTTTATCATGCAAAAATTAGAACCTTGCTTATAATGTTGATCTCATGGGGTTTCTAGTATTTTTGATTGTCGATGCTAAGGATGAACTTAAAGGTGCAACTCCGATTGGTATCACGCTTCAAAAGTTTATTCTATACACCTTAGCATCATTGGTAGTAATTACTCTTCCACAATTCCAATCTATGCATATGTGTGAGCTTCAAACTAAACACTCTAGCACATATATAGGGAAGCTAATACTACCAATTCAGGTTTGTGGTACTTGTCCAAAATCATTTACACATGGTAAAATTACTTGGGCAAGTAACATGAATCCAAAAGTGCTTAATTTTCATATCTTTGTAGAGTTGTCATCAATTACCAAAAACGGAGAGATTGAAAGGTCCTTGTTTGGTTTTAGTAATTGAGTGACAACCTAGGTAGACTAATATGTGTTTAAGTGAAATACATAGGTGATTAGTCCATAGGTACATGTGTGAGCAATATATGCCATAGAGGTGAAATGTCTTGATATGTTGCAAGGCTCACACATGTGATGAAAGAGCTCATTGCATATGAGACATGACATTGAGTCATGTGACTAAGGTGGAGAAGATCAAGACAAGGCTTGGCTCGATGGACCAGTTGCAAGTGTAAAGGGCAAGTTGAGTGATGACTTGACGCCAATGGACCGAAGCAATGGTGAAGAGCAAGTGAAGTCGAGATCGATAAACCAATACGGTCATGTGATGATATGAAGTGGATCATATCATTTGTGATTGGTTGGTGCATGTGTTGCATCAACATTGGAGGAGATGGAATGGAATGCGCAAGGCAAAGGTATAACCATAGGGTATTTTATTTCACCATTCATAGGTGTGTAGAGAAGTTTATGACTGGGTTTAGGATAGATGGCCATACTATCAAGAGGGTCAAACTTTTTTGCATATTGGTCATCTAGTGCCACTTGAGCGATCTAACTTTGCATACGTGTTAGGATCGAGTGGTGAAGTGAAAAGAGCTCTAATCCTTTGAAAAATGTTTGTGAAAAGCTAACACACATGCACAAGATGGTGATCACTTGGTGGTGTTAGCACATTCGTAAAGGTGTTGAAAAAAGGAGAAGAAAAGGGCTAGTTATGGTTGTCCGGGGAGTAGCTTGAGTTGACGTGATCGTAACGCGAATGAGTTTGCAATTCGGAGAGCTAGTGGAGGTGCCTATGTGGTACCACCATGCCCTGTCCGGTGCACCGTCACCCCTGTGGCGGTGCCCACCGGAACCTGACAGACAAGGGCCGCTGTGGGGTGGTCACCGAACATGGCTGTGTTCACCGCCATGGGCACGACGGTGCACCATCACTGGCTGTCCGGTGCCATCACCCTGTTTTACCTGAGGGCAGTAGGTTGGAATTTATAGCTTAGGGGGCCCACCATGGGTACGGTGGTGCACTGCCCTATTCATCTAGAGAAGAGGGAAAATGGGGGCTCGGCTAGGGTGGCACCACCACCCCCTGTCCAGTGCCACCGTCAGCCTGTCCGGTGACCAACTAGCCGTTGGTCAACCGTTGGAATTCGACCGTTGAGGGCACCATCACCCCCTGTCCGGTGATCGCACTGCCCTGTTCGGTGCCCTCGCATAAACTTGGTCCAAGGGCCCAACGGCTCTATTTGTCTTGGGGGCTATAAATAGAGGTTGGGGTTGGCCTTGGGCTGGTTGTTGAGCACCCTTGAGCCTTGGTGGCTTTGTGTAGGTGTTATTGGGAGTCCTCTAACTCACATACGCTTGATAGTGATCATCCGATTGAGTGTGAGTGTGATTCTAGTGTGATTGCATCGTGAGGTTGCATCAAGTGGCACTAGGTGATCAAGTTGCAAGCCGGTGGTGCTTGTTACTCTTGGAGGTTGCCACCTCTTAGATGGCCTGGTGGTGAGTTCTCCATCGTGAAGCACGCAAGAAGATTGTGCGGTGCTCCAGAGAAGAATTGTGGGGGGCATTGTGCTCGCCCCGCGGGGATCGCGAAGAGCAACTCTAGTTGAGCATGTCATTGAGCTACCCTCACTCAGTTCGTGGGGTTCTTGTGGCGCCCAACGTGTGGGCTTGGCGTGTGATGCCAATTAGCTGTCGAACCACCAAGTGAGCGGTCGACACAATAGGGACTAGCGTGTTGGCAAGCACGTGAACCTGATAAAAATCATCATGTCATCCTTGTCTTCCCGTTGGTTTGCATCCCCACAACATAAGCTTGTATTTACTTATTCATATGTTGTGCTTGTGTAGTTGCTCTTATAATTAGTTAGCTTGTGTAGCTTGCTAGTTACCTTCTTGCTTGTGTAGCTAGAAGTAGCTCCCTTGCGTGACTAATTGGCTTGTGTAGCCTTGTTAGTCACATTGTTTAGTTTGTGTAGCTCAGTAATTTACGCTCTCTAATTTCGCTTGTGTAGCCTTGTTATTGAGCATTACTAGTGAGCTTAGGTGGCTTTGTGCTTTTGCTTACTAGTTGTTATAGGAGCTCCCTTGTGCTTGAAGTACTAGTTGCACAGGTTTGTGTGACCTTGTTGACTAGAATTGGTTAGGTGAGCTCTAGCTAGCCCATCACCTTTGTTGTCTAATTAGGATCTTTTCTAAGTTGCTTATGAACTTAGATAGAGGGGTGTAGTCTTGGATAGACCGATAGTTTTAATTCTGTATTTGTTTTGGTTAGCTGGCGCAACTAATTTTAGAAAGGACTATTCACCCCTCCTCTAGTCTGCCATCTCGACCCTTCACCGGGTGCGGTGCTCCCTTCTCCCTTGTGCGGTCAACACGACAACAGCGAATGAGAGATAGAAGGGAGAGAGGAGAGGGAAAGAGAGAGAGCAGGGCAGAGCAAAGGATGGGGAGTG